AAAGTCCAACAACAAGTGAAACATTAAGCTGGAGAAGCATTAAAGTAAGTACTATTTTTAAAGTACTATGCATGAAACATAGAAATGTTTATAAACTTTTTCCTTTAATGATTTTTATAATTTTTTTTTTTTTTTTTTTTTTTTGGAGTAACATTCTTCCAAAAGTAACATTTAGCAACATTGTATCATGGCTAACTTTAAGAACAAGTGTATGAAAAAGAATTCTCAAATCCTTTAAGCAGAAATATTATTGTATAAACACTATTACAAAAATCAAATCAAACCACTTTATCAGCAAAGGTGTTATGGAAACTACATCATTTCACATCATTAATGTGTTTAGTAAAAGCAAAAATAAATCATTAAACTAACATCTTTATTCAGCTCCACCATAACCTGAATGGGCAATTCCTTTATCTTTCAGCTCAATTGTGCTGGAATCAATGTCTTCAGCTGTGTTTTGTACCTAAAATTAACAAAAATCCAAGTTTAAAAATGATTATAAAAGGAAGCAATATGACAAAACCTAAAGACAATTTACCTTTGTTCTTTTTCTTTCAAGTGTTTTAATTTCCCAGAAACGGTGAGACTTCTGAAACCTGTAAATTGCAATCCGATATTAATATGCATGTTTATTAACTGAAGACAGACATAGAAGACAAATATCTAAACACCAGAACTTCGCAATTAAAGTACTTATTCGCTATGCTGTTACGCTAAAGTAGAATTTTTTTTTTTTTGCAACCTTAAATACTATCCTTGAAGTGCTTGTCAGTCAGCCTAGAATACAATAGATTGGTTCATTTTTAACCACTAACCTACCTGATAACAAACAGCAACACACATACTAGAACTAGTAAGATGACAGTTGTGCCGATGAGCAAAGGCGTCTGCTTTTTATCTGAAATGCAAGATAAAATGGATATTAAAACCCTTAGATTGAAAATGTTGGCCATAACTTACCAACCCTTTTTGTATCAATATTAACCATATACAATTATATAAAAAACATTCAAAACAAGCATTTCTGACAGAAAAATCTCAGATCTGTTGTTACCCAACATACACTGTGCTAGTGGGATTGATTGGAGAGGTTGATCGATTGAAAGTATAGATCAATTTCTTTACCATTTTTTTCTAACTGGAATATTCAAAATGCTCTCTTAAAATTATTTGCTGCCACAGGATGTTAAAACATGTGTAGTTCAGATCCTGCCAGGATCAATCTCTGAGCTTGACAAAAGGTTTGTTCTAACCAAGACAGAAATTGTTCACTCTAAAACAGAAAGCTTAAGCTGGACTCAGCATTCTCTATAAAAATAAATGAAGATGCAGGTGAGGAAGACATTTTTTAGATAAAATATCTAGTTTGAAAAGATTTTCCAATTCAATTGTCCCATGCAACTACATAAAAATCCAGTTCTGTCTTATTGCAATAAATAAAAAAAATGTTTTCTTTTGACTCATTGATCACTGTTGCTCTTTCAGTTTTAAACAAATAATGGACAAAATACATTATTCAATTAAAAACAGAGGAAACATTGATTTGCAAACCTTGCAGTTCTGCTGCATTCTGGAGCGGTCTGATAAAAAGCTGTTTACTGTCTGATCCCAATGAATTGAAGCTTAAGCAGAGCAAAGATGACATGTTTCTCGTCTGTGATTCATTCAAAGTGATGATGCTCCTCAGATATGTGTTGTTCTTAGAGTCACTGATAGCACTAATAACAAAATCCTTCCCAGATTGGTTGACAGGTTTCCCATTAAAAATCCACAGCAAAATGGGAGGGTTTCCAATGGTTTCACAGGAGCAGTTGATGTGATTTGCAGTTTTGGTGCAACTAGAGAATGGCAGGATCTTTGGAGGCACTGTAAAAAAAAAAACAGAAGTAAATATTCAATTCCACCTTGGAATATTCCCTGTAAAGTTTCCAAAATGCTGTCATGTTTGAACCCGCTTCGAAACCATTGTGATAAATAACATTTTTGATTCATGAAAAATCCTTTGGCTTTTGTTTTCAATTTCACTCCTTCATGCAAGAGAATACTTAATTCTGATTAGCATGCATTAATTGATGCATATTAAGGAGAAAAGCAACTAAGGAATGAGAAGTGATCAGTATTGGTATGTTATTTAGGTAGATTAGGTTATTAAATTACAGAGGATACTTTCTTACATATTCTGAGATTATATATATATATATATATATATATATATATATATATATATATATACACACACACATACACAGTTAATAATTGAAATAAAAAAAAAACCTTGTGTATCTCCTGAAATCTGAGAGGATCTGATAAAAAGCTGTTTGCTGTCTGATCCCAATGGATTGAAGCTGAAGCAAAGCAACGAGGATATGTTCCTCTCCTGTGACTGATTCATAGTGATGATGCTCCTCAGGTATGTGCCATTCTTAGAGTCCCTGATAGTAAAATCCTTCCCAGATTTGTTGATAGGTTGCCCATTAAAAATCCACTGCAACATGGGAGGGTTTCCCATGATTTCACAGGAACAGTTGATCTGATTAGCAGTTTTGGTGCAACTAGAAGATGGCAGGATCTTTGGAGGAACTGTAAAAAAGCAGAGCAAAATACCACCAAAAAATATTGTACATAAGAAAAACATGATTTTATTTAACTGTGAAAACACCTTTGAACAACATTTTTAGGTACTTGTAAAGAAACATCCTTTGTCATCACTACTGTACGTTAGAGGCATTCATTCAGTAAGACACTAACATAAGCTTTGGTGTTTTTAATAAAAAAAATTATAACTGAGTTTTGGTTTCCTCTTTAATGTATTCTTGACAAAAGAAGTTAATCAGAGAGGATTTAGTATTGGTAAGAAAGTTCTAGATCTACTGCCCTGTCTGTAAATTGTTAAGATAGACTTGTTACAGATGCCATTCAGCTATACATTTTTTGTTAAATTATTTTTCTACTTATTCATAAAAAAGCATTTAAAGATAAAATTAGGGACAAACCTTGTTTTTCTTCTGAAATTTGAGGGGATCTGTTAAAAAGCAGTTTGCTGTCTGATCCCAATGAATTGAAGCCGAAGCAAAGCAAGGAGGATATGTTCCTCTCCTGTGACTGATTCAAAGTGATGATGCTCCTCAGATACGAGTCATTCTTAGAGTCGATTACAAAAACCTTCCCAGATTGGTTGACAGGTTGCCCGTTAAAAATCCACTGCAACATGGGAGAGTTTCCCCTGATTTCACAGGAACAGTTAATTTGATTTGCAGTTTTGGTGCAACTAGAGGATGGCAGGATCTTTGGAGGAACTGTAAAAAAGTATAAAGTTTTTTTAAATTTAAGAAATTTGTTATTACTCCTATGTATTCTTTTTTGTATAGCTAAGTGTTATCAAAATTCATAAAAAAAACACTACTTTGATATAGCCGATGCCTTTTTTTAAAATACAGTTAAAATGTTGGTTTAAGAATAACTACAGTATCCAAAAGAAACCTATTTCTGATAAATAACTGATCTAGGTTCTAGATAAAGAAAAACTGAACAATTAAAAAAAATCTTGTTACATGGCTGAATTGTTATTCTATCACAATATTTTTTTTAATACTTTTAATAAAAAAATATGAAAAAGTTAAAATAATTTTAAGTCTGTAAAATCCTTGTTAAATAACTGCTTAATGTATAGTAAAAAAAAAACAAACAAAAAAAAACAACACAATGGATAAAATAGACAAACCTTGATTATCTCCTGAAATATGAGGGAACATTATGAAAAGCTGTTTGCTGTCTGATCCCAATGAATTGAAACTGAAGCAAAGCAACGAGGATATGTTCCTCTCCTGTGATTGATTCAAAGTGATGATGCTCCTCAGGTATGTGCCATTCCTAGAGTTCCTGATAGTAAAATTCGTCCCTGATTGGTTGACAGGTTGCCCGTTA